TTTTCCCTAATAACTGAGCTTTCTACTACAGACAACTAAGGTAGAGTTTTGAGTCCGGCCACCTTATCAGGCAACCTTCCTTATCTTGAACTGAACTACCCATAGAGTCCAGCACGTTTCAACATCCGGTACCTTCCCAAAGGACACATGCTTGAGACTTATCAATGCCAGAAAGCAGGACTAAGAATGACCACCATCTCAGAATCTTTAAAAAAACAGTATCTTTTAAACAAAGTGACCTGTTAGTAATTTTGTGTGATGAAACTTAGAGAACTACTAAGAATGTGCACAAAACATGTTATAGCAGATGGTCACAATGCTATGTTCTCACAGATGAGAAGCAGAGTCCTAGTTCTCATCCATGAAACAGGAAACAAGGCCTTCCTTAGGGGAACTGTGGGGAGATTATAATGTATGTCAAGTATGCTTAGTATGGTATCAGGTACTTGGCACTGCACTCAAAAGTGATTCTCTATAAACTCCTCACATTATGTAGAGAAAAGCTTTATAATTTTAAGAGCTCTTCAATCAGAAAACACTGGCACAATGACTGTCTCCAACTGGTGTTCAAATAAAGTAAGGAATAAGCAATCTAGTACCCAGCAGAAAACATTCTCATTGCAACAATCTCTTTTCCTAAAGTGAATACTGTTAGACTGGATGTATCTTCACCTTCATGTTGTGTTTAGCACCTACAGAACAAAAAGCAGCTCTGTTTGCAAAGTTCTAACACCTCTGTTATAAATAGCAAATGGCTTTCTCAACTTCCCTGTTTACTATTGTTTCATAAATTCTCCAAAGCAGAGGCAACACACTGGTAGTCCATGGATAGCTGACACTGTCTAAACCAAGAGCTTAGATTTTTGGCTCACTCAACTTTTTAAAAAAGTGGTTGTCAATATTTACATAGCAAGAGACAAAATGTAAACATCTAGATTTCTGGCTTATCTGGAAAGCTAGAAACTGTAAATTCACACACAGCATAGACTAGAGGACCTTGAATAAAATCTGCTTTCTTTAGAAGAAATCTGAGCTCTCCAATTCACCACAGTCTCCAGCATTTTCTCTTACATTAGTGTCTCTGTTACCAGTTCCTTTCCTTACTCCAATTGGCCCTTTCATCTGTATTGGGTTTTCCATCCCTGCTCAGGCACATCTCAGGAAAGACAGCTAAAGAACAGAAAGGGTAGGCTGGGAATGTGACTTAGTGGTAGAGTGCTTGCCTAGAATGCATGAAACCCTGAGTTTGATTCCTCAGTACCACATAAACAGAAAAAGCTGGAAGTGGCATGGTAGCTCAAGTGGTAGAGTGCAAGCCTTTAGCAAAAGAAGCCCAAGCACAGTGCCTAGGACCTGAGTGCAAGCCCCAGAACTGGCACCAAAAAAAAAAAAAAAGAAGAGGAAGAAGAGGTAGAAGAGGAAGAGGAGGAAAGGAGGAAGACGAAGAAGATGAAGACAAAGAAGAAGATGAAGAAGACAAAGACGAAGAAGATGAAGAAGACAAAGACGAAGATGAAGAAGAGGAGGAGGAGGAGGAGGAGGAAGATAATGACAACGAAGAAGAAATGGGGCAAAACACCACAATAGAATATAACTAACTCATGAGTGTTACCTACCTTCTAAAGAATACAGACAAAGCAGAATTCTAAATCGGGTTGTCTACAGGCAAAGCATGAAGCATTATGCCTGACACAGTCAATGCTCTATGTTAGACAGCAATATCATTAGTATCACTATTTCACTGTACTCTATTGTCTAAATATAACATCAGAGAGTAAACAAGTGATCTGACAAGAAACAGTGGAGGATAGTACTGGGTTTAAACTCAAAGCCTCACACTGCATAGGCAGTCGTACCCTAGCCCTTTTTGCCACAAGCCAACCCAGATTGCTATCCCCTACCTATGCTTTCAGAATAACAGATTGTGTGCATGCTATCATGCTCAGCTTATTTGTTAAAATGAAGGTCTCATTGACTTTTTTGCCCAGGCTGGCCATGAGCTGTAATACTCCTATATCTGCTTCTTGAGTTAGCTAGGATTACAGGGATGTGTCACCACACCTAGCCTACACAAGATTTTGTTTGTTTGCTTGTTTTGTGGCACAGTGGTATGAACACAGGGCCTTATGCCTGATTAGCAGGCATTCTACCACCTGGCCACACTCCCAGCCCAACAAAGAATTTCTGAAAAATAAGAATGAGAGGAACTGTATCATAAGATACAATCAATAATACTTAAATATTGCAGTATTTGTATAATAACAATGGTATAGAAAAGAAAGTTCAGGCACAAATTCAAGCAAGATATGTAAGAACTTAATATTATATAAATAAATTGGTATTTTATACAGAAAAGGGCTAGATGAATCATTATTTGATCCTAAAACAACTGAGTACATTTCTAAACAAAAAAGTTAACAGTCTCTACTCCCCTGAGAAAAAGAAAGGAATCTATAAAGGTTTGTTTTCATCTTGGCTCTCTAAATTCTGCTTTAGTATTTTGACACTATTAATTTATTAGTAGGGAATAGGAAGTTATTTCTAAAATTATATTTTGGATTATCTTTCCCATAGTTTTCTTAGATACCACTACTCTCAAGCTTGAATAGGAGTTTGCTTTAAAAAAAAGAAAAACCTTTGGGGCTGGGAAGGTGGCTCAGTGGTAGAGTGCTTGCCTCGCATGCATGAGGCCTTGGGTTCAATCCATTAGCACCACATAAACAGAAAAGGCCAGAAGTGGCGCTGTGGCTCAAGTGGTAGAGTGCTTAGCCTTGCGCTGAAGAGCTGAGGGTCAGCGCCCAGGCCTAGAGTTCAAGCCTCACGACCGAGAAAAAAAAAAAAGAAAAGAAAAGAAAAGAAAAACCTGCAAGGAATGGAGAGAATGAGAATACTTCCTAAAATTCATCTAGAGCTAGGCATTATAAACAGGCATTATAATAAAGAGTTGATTACCTATTGCTTTTCATCCTTATCTAAGTTTTATGAGGACAGGTCCTCACTTACAGAGGAGGGATACTGACACTCAGAGGTTTCCCTGTGCCTGATTAAGAGTTACAGTGTTGAGATGAAACACATCATCAACATCTGCACTCTCCACTACCCATTACTCCAAGAAGGCTCTAAAGATGGGGCTCACTCTTACAGGGGTGGCAAAAAAAGGACCTCTATATTCAGGAGCTGGTGATTGATAATGGAAACAAAATGCAACATGAGCTGCCTCTCGTGTGGATGAATCAGCTATAGCTCAGGATGCTAGGCATAGAAATGCACAATAGGTTTGACAACACTGAGAAGAGGGCCCTCTGGGCAGCAGCCCATCTGTTCTTACTTCCTAGTATATTGGGGGATTTAAGAGAAAATGTCTTTGGAGGTGACCTACTCAGAACTGCCATGATCCCATCATGTTGACGACTTCAAACAGATGGGTGGCTACCAAATCTGCAACATCTCACAGGAAGGAGGTTTAAATCATTCTACCACAGGTAACCTGTCCTTATGCTCAACCGGTCATGGCAGGAAGTGTCCTAATACCTTCCATATGTTTATCTCATTACAAATGAGGCATTCCTATGAACACAGGAGACACACCACACCACACATGGGCAGTCCCACCCAGCTGCACCTCGTATTCCCTAACAGAACCACTGAGTAGAAACTTAGAATCGCCTCCAAACCAAACCATTGCCACCTGTGTATTACTACCTTAATGCTTCCCTTGAACCTCAAATATCATGCTCCATAAACCGTAGATCCAAAATGGACAACAGCAATTTCTCAGGACTGCTAGTAAACCACTTCTTAGCCTTTAATTTAGAATAAGCTTGCTGAAAACCCTACACTTTTTTTATCTGGTTACTGTGATCTTTTTTTCTTTCTTATGTCACTGTTACTGCCTATTTGCAGTAAGATTCTTAACTGTAGTTTTATATCACTGTGTTAGTTCTTTTGAATCCAAACAGTCACTGATACACAGAAGTTACTTAAACACCACATGTTGGGTAACACACATTTTCCTAGCTTCTGGAAAGGCAAATAACACTGAAGTTTCTTCTGTGAAGTAAGATAAAGACAAGACAGGAGTTTCTGTTTCTTAGTGTTTTCTTGGAGGTCTACACTGGTACATGGAAGCTCAGTGACGAGGAAAGTCTTAAGAGGTGATACTTGGACAGAATCCTTAATGCTCAGTGGGAGCCGCCAGTGTTGGAAGGAAGAAGCCAGTCCAGGCACAACTTAGAAACTGCAAAAGCAAAACCTGCCTGGGGAGGGTGCTAGGAAGCAAGGCTAGAGAGCTAGCTGTACCTGTCTCCATGAAGATAAGCTACTTAATGCTCGGTCCAAAATTTAATCACAGTGATTTTTATTTTCTGTGTCCATCTCCTTTTGTTACAAGGATGACTTTGCCTCATACCAAATTTTAAAGAGCGTATTTTTTCAGGTAGCTACGGGTGTTACAATTATTTTTAAATGAGCGTCCAAGCACTTGTACATCCAGAGAGAATATAATGATTGGTAAGAATGCCTTTTGTTAGTGAAACATCATACCCTCTTTCTCATATTAGCCAAGAGCCTGACTGAGCAAAGTCCAGGCAAAATCAATGACATGGGCATGGGACTCTCATCCTTGACTGTCCTGCAGTGAATGGAAAGTACAATACTTAGAGGTGAGTGGTGAGAAAGTCAATCACTTAGAGGTAAGTGGTGAGAAAGTCAATTTTGTTCTTGGCTTATTAGATGAGGGCATCAATACATTAGGATTGATTTTCAAGGAATGGAAAAGTAGCAAAAAAAGAAAGAAAAAAAAAACCAATGAGCAAAATGCTTCACAGTGAGTCCTACAGGTTCAGAAAGGGAAACACAGAGGTCTAGCCCACTCCCCTATGAACTACCTCTATCGCCTAAGTGTCCATTAGCATATATTGCTCAAATTTAATTATTTCATCTTAGAATAAGAAGCAAAAGCCTGCTTTTAAAAATGACGGTTATACTTTAAAACATTTTACCTGATTTAAGTAATTTAGGCACTTTTCAAGACACCAAAGGCAACAAATGCAAGATTTCAGCACACATCGTGCACAAGCATTTTCCTGGACAAAGGGAAAAAAGTAAATAGTTAAAAAATAATCACATAGAAGACTGTAAATGTTGAAATATACATAAAAATGTAAAAATCACAATGTCAAAATCTCCATATTCTCTTTTCCTTCAAAATATAATGTCTGAATTATTATTATTAGTGCCATTGTTATTTTGGTACTGGTCCTTGGAGCAGCAACTGTGGCTCAAGCACTAGGGCTTGAACTCAGGACCTGGATGCTGTCCCTGAGGCCTACCACTTGAGCCACAGCTCCAATTGTGGCTTTTTGGTGGTTAAATAGAGATAAAAATCCCATAGACTTTCCTGATCGGACAGGCTTGTAACCATAATCCTCAGATCTTAGCTACCCGAGTAGCTAGGATTACAGGTATGAGCACCACTGCCTAGCTGTCTAAATAATAATAATAATAATTATTATTATTATTTTGTTGTTGTTGTCGGTCATGGGGCTTGAACTCTAGGCCTGGGCACTGTCCCTCAGCTCTTCAGCTCAAGACGAGCACTCTACCACTTGAGCCACAGCGCCAATTCCGGCTTTTTCTGCTTTTGTGGTGCTGAGGAATCGAACCCAGGGCCTCATGCATGTGAGACAGGCAAGCGCTCTACCACTGAGCCATCTTCCCGGCCCCCTAAATTATTTTTTATCAACCAAGTCAACATTGTTTAGTGCTATTGAATATATGATACAGATAGACATATAAAACCAGCAAGGATATAAAACCTCATAGGAGACAAAAAAAAGTACTCAGCATAGAGAAAATGATGGATAATAGCTACTCAATGTTATATAAGTGGGGATAACAGAGAGATTAAAATGCTTGGGTGGTGGGAGGAATCAAGAAAAGTTTTCTAGGAAGAGGTGGCCTTTGAGTGAAACTATGTTGAAATCCATGTCATTTTTACAGTCAAGGGTATGAATTATTGGTGACATACTTCTTTTTCTTTTCAATCAGTCAATTGTCCCTTTGCTGTGGAGCAGTCTTTGGGGTTTATGTACATGTACATGTACCAAAACACACTGTACCCCATAAGTATGTATAATTATTAAGAGTCAATGAAAAAAAACTGTTAAAAAGAAAAGGGATTGGGAAGATGTTCTAGGAGAAAGGAATATGAGTCAACCTAAGCAAAGTGTAGGGTTTTCTTTGAATAGTATATGGAGTGCAGGCAAGGGAGACAAGGAGTAAGAACTGGGTCCCACTTGGTTAAGACAGAAGAAAACAATCAAAACCTCACGTTAGACAGGATGTAGAGCTTTACTACATGAAGAACCGAGGTGTGGAAGACGCCCAAAGGAAGTCCAGAAAAGCACTTATCCTTACCTTTCCTTTGAGCTGACTGTGTATGTACATAAGGATCATTCGTGGAATTTTGACTAAAGTGATAATAAAAGATCCTTTTGCCACAGTACCAAGGTGATAACGAATAAGGCGATTCACTGATGCCAAAATAGGTGTAAATGGCAAATTTCTTTTATCCCTATTTATAATGAACAAAAAAAGATAATTAAAGCCTAGATCAGGATAGTATGGTTGAGTACAGTACAGGCAAAATCAGTTTTCTATTCTATTCTATCTTAAAGACAAAATGGCTAACTAACTAATATGTAACTACTACAATCTCTACAATCTATTAATACACCACATGAAACTTATGTTTCACTTTTCTAGATTATTTCAATTGGGGTTCTTATGCTCTTGACTGAAAAACTATGTTACAAAAGCTTTTATTAATGAACATATAGTCAACTATATAATCAGAATTCTAAAAGTTGCTTTATCTAGTTCTAGCACTTCATGATAATAGAAATTATGCACTACTATAATATTTACTATAACAAGATATATCATAACTTACTGTTCTGGTAAATTTTTGAGACTATTATAAAAAAATATAAAGAAGAGAATAACAACCTCCCATTTTCTCACCTACCAGAATTATCAACTAAACGTTAATCATTTTTTTATTATTGTCAAGGTGATGTACACAAGGGTAACAGTTACATAAGTAAGGTAATAAGTATATTTCTTGTTGAACTTGTTACCCCCTCCCTCATCTTTCTCCTACTTCTCTCCCAAGTTGTACAGATCATTTCCAACATATTGTATTGTGAGTATCACTACTGCATTGGTTTCCCCTTTGTCTTTTGTCTCACCATTCTGTTGTTCCCCTTTCCCTTCCCTAATGGTACTGCCCCATTTGTCAGGAAATGAAGACTTGGAAAAAATCATATTAAATGTAGTAGGCCAGACCCAAAGAAACATAGGTCCTATGGTTTCCCTTATTTGCAATAATTAGTATATGTCTAGGATAATCTTAGCAGATGAGCAGAAAAGGTCAAGAGCTACGTATATCTGACCATGTAAGATGATGCTAAGCAAAATGAACTTCAAGACATGGACACAAGAAGTTTTTCTTTGTTGTTTTTAATATAGTATGTGATTTCTTGTTTCTTTTGTGTGTTCTTCCCTTATGGTTTATTCCTTGTTGTCAATGTATTTGATTTTGGTACCTTGGGATTGTATATATGTTTATTTAAATTTTAATCTTTTTAACAACATAAAATTCATACTAGCCTTAGCCCCCATGCTTTTCTCCTCTGTCTGCAGACCAGTCACTTAGATGAACTTGACTTTCCTGACAAAACTCTCACCTAGTAAAGTAGTAAGTGACCACAGCTCCTGCCACAGTCATCTGTTGACATGCTAGAATAAATTCACTGATCCAAATCAGGCCAACCACATGGTACCACCACATGTACTGCAGAGGCCCAGAAATTCGAAACTCCACAAAGCCTTGGTCATTCTGAACAGCACTGCCTAGGAAAATGTCAAAGGAAGAAAGAAGCAGCACATAAAGTATAAAACAAGAAAGAAAGAGATGAGTTTAATTTCCAACAGTAGATATCTACTCTCAAACCACAAATTTCTTGTTGCTATTTCACTAATGGACAAAACCCACAATCACTAAAGAGCTTGTGCACTTGTATAAGTGCACATTTGGTCTTTTCAAACTTTGAAAAGTTGCTCTACTAATATAAGCTTTATTACATTTTTGATAATTAGGCATACATTTTTCAACATTTAAAGATTTTTAAGGGCTATTTCTTATCCATTAATCACAGATCTAAACTACTAGCTAGGTACAGAAATTAACATCTTGTTTGGTGAATATGTACTAAATGGACAGAGGAAAGCCACATAAAGTTTACTATGCTTACATGACTCCTCACGATTAATTCTATGTAGACTTAACCTGTGATAGTGTGATAGAAAGCTGGACCAAATCATCTTCAGGAGCTCTAGCTAGGTTCAGAATATTTCCAAATTAGAAAATTCAAAGATGAAAATTGTTCCTGGTCTATTAAATGGTCTTAGAAGCAACACTAGAGAGGCTCTGCATTTTTCAGTTCATTTCAGAATGAATCCCAATGCCTGACTCAGCAGAGAATGCAATCCATGACCATCTCAAAACTAGGGAGCAGTCTTGGCCTACCTGATCTAGACTTACATTGCTTGGGTGCTATGAAAAACAAGGAGTTCTTATTATTAAAGAGCTGGTACTACTGCTAGATTAGACAGATATTGGACCTTCAACAAATGTATGCATAATTATCTTTCTCTGGTGTTTTGTGTGTGTGTGTGTGTGTGTGTGTGTGTGTGTTGTGGATCAAAACAAGAGGGCTATTGTATTAAGGCATACCCTCAGCTCTCTCTGAAGTTTTAAAATATTTGAGTGGGAAATTGGCTTTATCACTAAGAGAAAGAAGCAACTTTTCTTACCGGTAGTACCAAGAAAAAGTAGCGTCATGATCCAGTAGGCCCAGAACAAGACAAGAGCAAAGAAGGTCCAGAAAGGCTGGAAGACGAGCAGTGGCAGGTGGATGAAGACCTTGCCAGCCACATGGAACAAGGCAATGGTGAGAGCAACACGTTTGCGCATGACCAGCATTATCAGGAACAAGATAACCTGAACGGAAAGAAGACAAGGCAAGGGTCTGGCTACTCTTCTAAGCAATAGAAGCAGAAACAGCAAATGGTGAAAAACTTTAATTAGTAATTTTACTATATAATACCTAAATATTGGATATTATATCTATATATTATTGATAAATACATATTGTTAAGAGACATATTTGAGTTCTTGCCTGTATTCCTAGCTATTCAGGAGGCCAAGATCTGAGGATCACAGTTCTAAGCCAGTTCAGGCAGCAAAGTTCATGAGACATTTACTTACAATTAACCACAAAAGCCATAAAGTAAAGGCATGGCTCAAGAGGTAGAACACTAGCCTTGAGCAAAATAGCTCATCAACAGTGCCAGGGCCTGGTGTTTCAGCTCTAGTAGTGGCACACATGTGTGCGCACACACATACACACAGATACATCTGGGAAAATAACTAGTGAAAGAACAAATGGAATGATTATATTTCTTACTATACTATTCTACAGTAAGGAGAATTGTTTTAAAAATTAATTATGTCATCTTTGACAAAAGGAAATATGTTTTTATTAGCAAATGAGATAATGTAACTATTCTAGCTGAACACGTCTCAAAGAGCAGAGATACAGTGGCACATGCTGATAATCCTATCTTCTTGGGAGCATGAAATCTACAGAAATGTGGTTCAAGGCCAGTCTAGGAAAAAAGGTTAGCAAGACTATATCTCAACAAATAAGCTAGATTTGGTAGTATATGCTTATATTCCTAGGTAGGCAGAGATGATCCAAAACCAGCCCAGGTTAAAAAAAAAAAAAAGTGAAACCCTATCCAACAATTAACTAAAAAAGGGCAGGGCTATGACTCAAGTGTAAAGCACCTTTTTGAGTTCAAAGCATTCATATCAAGTAGAGAAGCCTGCAACAGACATTTAGTGGCACTATAACACAGTAGGAGACATTTTATCTAGTGGAAATCAGGATTGGAATGCAAAGCTACAGGTGAGTTTCAGTCCATCAATCATCTTCTGCAAAAAAAAAAAAAAAACCACAGAACCAAAAGACATCTGAGCTGTACTCACAGTGAACACTGTAGCTGAAATGGCATAGATCAGGAGAGCTCGAAGATTGTCTTCAGCTATCTGAAGCTGCTCAGGAATAATTGCTTCTTTGGGTGACCTCCTTTGCTTTGCATATAGCCACCATAGTACACCTGTGCCACCTGGAGACAAAAAAAATAAATGTTTCAGTTTTGCAAATAGTTGTACAAACAAGTACGCAGCATACATGCTCAATTTGCTAGACTCACCCTACACCACGAAGCTGAGACCATAACATCCATTTCCCTGTGAGGGATGGATATTTAACTATTTTGGCAGTGTAAGGAGGCATGCCAACTAGTCCTCTCTCCATCATCTTTTACCGGAAGCACTTAATTTGATATACTGAAAGATTTGTTAAGTGTTTCATGGAAAAGACAGTAACATATTTAAATGTATTTATCATTGGTTCTGAACATGATAGAGAGCCAAGAAAAACAGATATGCCAGGTGCTGGTGGTTCATGCCTATAATCCTAACTGCTTAGGAGGCTGAGATTTGAGAATCATAATTAGAAACCAGCTGAGACAGGAAAGCCCATGAAGCTCTTATCTTTAATTACCCAAAAAGCTGGAAATGGAACTGTAGCTCAATGGATAGAGTGCTAGCTAGAAAATTAAAAAAAGAACTCAGGGATAATTCCTGGGACCCAGGACAGACACAAAAAATAAAAATAAAAAAATAAATAATAAAGATACCTCTGAAAGGAATTGGTAGCCAGTAAGGAATTCCCAATCCCCCAATTTCCCATTCTCACTAATCATGTAGTAATGGGGCGAGGGTGGTGGTGGTAGTGGTGGTGGTAGTGGAATATGTTGTACATTAAATCTAAGGACAAAAAAAAAAATCCAGCAAGAAGCATATGGCTTAATTTTGGAAGGTATAACCAGTTATATGTAACTTTGACAGCGAGGCCTCATGTCAGAGAAAAAATAATAAGAGAAATCTAGTGAAACTACCCAGGAAAGTGTTCAGGCAAAGGGTTGGCATCTGAGATGGGATCCCACTTAGTATGTGGGTAACAGAGATCATTTTTGTGGCTACAGCAGTGAGCAATGAGGGAAGCAGGAAATGTGTAGCTGTGGCCCAGACCACGTTGTAAAGTTTTGTAGACTATAGTAAGGAAGAAGATTCAGAATAGATTTAGAATATAAACTGGATAAGATAAATGCCTGGAAGATAAAAACTTGGGCTAAGATCTATGTACATCAACCTGACTACCATGTATTCATGTAAAGAATGAATAAGTCAAAGGTCAAGTCCATATCCTATCTGTTGGAAAATACTAAGCATGAACTTATCTTCTACTGATGATGAGTTAAAGAAATTAAGAAAATGTGGGGTGTGTGTGTGTGTGTGTGTGTGTGTGTGTGTGAATTCTATGTCTCCATCAAAAAGAATGACACTGTCCAATTTGTTAGGAAATGGAAAGACCTGGAAAAAATTATATTAAGTGAAGTAAGCCAGACCCAAAGAAACATAGGTCCCATGGTTTCCCTTATTTGCAATAACTAGTATACGTCTAGGATAATTTTACCAGACAAGCAGAAAAGGTCAAAACCTATGTACATATGACCATATAAGATGATGTGAAGCGAAATGAACTCCAAGATAAGGACACAAGAAGTTTTATCTTTGTCCCTGTTATTTTTAATGTACTATGTGATTTTTTTTTTCGTTTCTTTTGTCTGTCCTTCCCCCATGGTATAACCCCTGTATTTGATTCTGGTGCCCTGAATCTTGTATATACATTTTTCTAATTTGGGGAGGGGAAATGAAATAACAAAATGCTGAAACAAGGATACAGGTTAACTCATTGTAAAATGAGATGTACAAGACACTATGCTGAAAACAAACTTTATAACTTGTTTGTGTGTGGGGGGGGGGAAGCTGGGGAAGTGAGGAGGGAAGGGATGGTAGAGGAAAAACAAAGGAGGGGGTAACAATGCTCAACAGGAAATGTACTCATTACCTTACTCATGTAACTGTAACCCCTCTGTACAGTTTTTTTAAACAAATATATATATATATATATATATATATATATGAAATCAAAACAACCCCAGTCTATGAGAAATAGTTCTTCCTTTTTGGAATCTTAATTACAGGAATATTGTTTGGAAAACTACTTATACACTAAAAAAATATGTTCTTGACAAGCTGAATTACAAAATTATGGGACAATATAAAATTTCAAGGAAAATGAGATGATGATGACATTAAGAAGTACTCTGTTCATGTATTAAACATCTGAATTTGTGCTAAGACCAGTGATCATCCCTTTACAGTTCAACCTAACTACAACATGTTTAAATGAGTATTATTAATTCTGCAAATGATAAAAATGAAATATAGGAAAGTTAAGTAATGTGTGAAAAATCACATGTAGTAAGCAGCAGAGCTGTGATTCAAGTCTAGAGTTATTATAAAAACTATCCATCTAAACACAGCTACATAGTAGGCTATAAACTGAGATGATAAAATGGCTGAGAACCACAGGTGTATCTATATACACTGAAGGTGAAATAACAAATGTAGATGCTCATGCATAGTCAGATAAAGAATTGATGGTGGGGAAAGTGACAATGGTGAAAATGAACTAAAGAGCTCTTTCTGAATGTAACTAAAAATGATGAATATACTGAAATGGTAGTTCAGAAAATTATAGTTGAAAAAATGAACATGGACCACAGAAAAAAATCCACTGGAACACAAATGATACTAGATACAAAAACAAACAACAAACCAAAAATAGAGTTGAAAAAGGTAAACAGTAAAATATATCGTATGTGAAAATGTACATATGTGTGTATGTGTGTGTTTATATGTGTTTTGTATGTGTGTGCTTATATATATGTTGTGTGTGTGTGTGTGTGTGTATGTGCACACGTGCATGTATGTTTGCATGCTGGTGCTGGGGCTTGAACTCTAGGCTCCTGTGCTTCTTGTTTGGCTCTTTTGCTCAAGACTGGGGTACTTTCCCACTTGAGCTACACCTCCACTTCTGAGAATAATATTTTAACTTTAATAATCTGAATATGTAACTTGTGATTTCTTTAACTAGGGCTGAAAAGTGAGAGTGAGGGGAAGGAAGTTAAGAGATAAAAGGAAGAAAAATTAGTACTAAGATTTAAACTAAATAATGTATATTCATTTACACATGCAAGGGGAAAAGGTCTAGACTCCACCTGCTAATAACCAGGCAGAAATGAGGAGGGGGAAATATACCTATGAAATTCATAAGGCAAAAATAAGCACTCTTCAAGCAAAAGTTAACAGCATTTGAAAAATTTCAATTTCTCTTCTTCATGTGTAACTATTTGTTATGGAATTCAGTGAGGCAGATATATACACAGGATAAGACAGGGTAACACAGGATAAGATAAACAAATGACTTACCAAGTGAACCCAGTATGACCAGAATAGTTAAGATCCACACAAGGACTCTTGATATATACCTGATTATCACCATCAAAATCATGGATAGAACTGTAGGGAAGATAAATAGAGAACAAGTAGAATTTCATTTGAAAACAGGAAAATATTATGAGCAATCTTTTCAATTGTTCTTTTTCCCAAGAAAATAATACTTTGTGGCTATTGACTAGCTTGTAAACTACATCTTAGGAAAGAAAAGTGACTGCTCTTGCAGTTGGATTTTGCCACTTGTACCACTTAAACAGCATCTTGAAACCAAAGGCATCTATCTGTGGGCTCCTACAGTATAGAAAAGAAGACATGCAAATGTACATGGTGATTGAAAAACAGACAAAACTGTTGTGGATTCACCACAGGGAAGACATCAGACATGCAAACACACACACATGCCAGTACACAAAGTAGAGACAATGACATGTCATGTTGGTGACAAGAAAAATCATCACATGTAGACAGCGATCAGTTTAATTAGTGCTACACTATCTTGAGTAATCTGTAGATCAATTTCTTTGATGGTTAATGGATAAACTAGATGGCATTTTATCTTTATTGGACATTTTTTTTCTTAAGCTAGAGAACTCCAAGGGAGTTCTGGCACTACAGGATTATATCCTGAAGCCACTAAAGCCAAAATCCCTTGAACAATTTCCTTACTGACTGAAGTCTTTCCTCAAAAATAAGCAACACTTAGTTTAAGTTACTTAACCAACCCCTTTACCAGTTCCAAACTTAGTCCTAATATGTTAGTCATTGAATAAAATTCTCAAAAAAGAGGAGATTTTACCTTTGCATTGGAATTATATTTTTGACATCATAATCTACAAAATGACTCTAAAGGTCCATTTCACAAGCAAATGAACAAAAATATTTTGGGCTTAAGCTACATTCTCTTTCTTGTGGGGAAGGCAGTACTTGCAAGTGCTCTACCACTCTACCTGCTTCTATCCTGCTTTTAGATATTATTCAGATAGGGTCTTGAGGTTTTGGCCCAGCAAGCTTTGAATACTGATCTTTCTGCCTTCACCTCTCCTACAGCAGGTATACCCCACCACACTTGACCTTATGCCAGAATCTTAAATCTCAAATGAAAATCATTCTAATGAGAATATGAAATTCCAATGAATTCACAGTATTACTACCTCATTTTATTTTATTTGCCAGTACTGAAGCCTGAATTCAGGGCATTGTGCTCACTTGGCATTCTTGCTCTCGGCTGGCACTCTACCAGAGCCATGCCTCTAGAGTAGCATTTTGATAGTTAATTGAAGATAGCCTCTTAGATGTTTGTCCCCCCCTGCCCAGGCTGGCTTTAAACTACCATCTTCCAGGTCTCAGCCTCCTGAGTAGCCACCAGCATACAGCAATTATCACTATTTTGAAGGTTTAGTTTTTAATTTTGGCCACAGCATCCAACTATTTCAGAAACCAAGTAATTTTTATAAAAAGGCTAATAATCAAATTTCTTGGGCCATTTGCAAAGCCAAATAAGTGGTTAGGATCTGTGTCTAGGAATATTATTAAAGTACTCACTTTTGGAATAAATGTACAGGAACGAAAAACAGATGGGAGCCCTTCAAATATCACAGATTTAGATTTTCATATGGACAGCTTTATTTCAATTGAGTCAAGTACTACCTAAGCAAAAAGAAAATACTCTCTAATGACAGGAAAGATGGAAATACAGCTTGTATATTCTCAATGACTATAATTTTGGTTAACAGAAATTATTACTAAATTTACTTATAGAATAAAAGTTACTAATTTCTTATTAGTTTTCTCCTCCCAACTAAGAATATTTATAAATTTGAATATGCCTTCATATAATTCTAGAATAATAACATGGAGTTTTCATCTCAAAAGGTTTGTTTGTTTGATTCTACATATTATTTATTTACTGACCAGAAAATTCAATAGCTAACAAGTGGAGATTACTTATTTTTCCAGCAAGACAGTGATATTGTGAACTATGGCAATAAAAAGGAAATTACAAAATTTAAAAGTAATGTATCAGAAATCTATGTTCTTAAATAAAAATAAATAAAAGAATATGAGGTCTCTTTTATAAGTATATATAACTTTTGGAATTGTATCTTAAAAAAACAAGGAGTTGTTGATTCATTGAAAGAAGACTCCTGCTGGCATATTAAAGGTAATAATTGACTTAGTAACCCAAGTTCGGGAAAACACTAGTTTTCTCAATGAAAGAAAAAAGAAGGGAAATAGGTTTCGGATGTATTTACATACTTCTATGTGCATATTTTAACAATATATAATCTAAAACAATTATGTAAGCTATGGGAAATTAAACATTTTACAAGTATCCCAGTTGGCTAAAAGAACAGTCTTCTACTGCAGTACTATGCAATAGCTAATAATGAAAAAAACAATTACCTAGTGATAACAAGCAAAGTCCCAATATAATTTCTTTGCTGGTCATTACTCCACTAATCAGCCTGTGTAAGACACTATTGTCACTGACAAAGGTGATCAGGGCCTCTGCAAACTTGGCATAGCAGGAAATGTTCACAGGAGCACAGCGATGGAAGAATGGAATAGGTGCACTGGTGACACAAGAAAAAAAAAATCAGAAAAAAAATTACTCCTACTTAATATAAATGCCACATCAAACACACAAATGAAAGGTGAATATGGCCGCAATACACTCCACCCTCCAGATGTCTTTATGGGAGCTCAGAGCTGTGTGTTTAATGCTACGAAGATGACTATTTTAGTCAGTGATGCAAATCTTACCACAAGCTTTATCAGGGAGGGTGGAGTGCATTTTCCAACAGAAGACATTATACCCTCCCCTTCTGAAAAGAAATACACATGTACATGTACACACACACACACACACACGCACGCACGCACGCACGCACGCACGCACACACACACACACACACACACACACACACACACAAAACTACCAGAAATGAAATCAACCAAAACCCCAGCCTGCACTTCTGCAGGCAAAGAGCAGATGACAAAGCTTAAGAACATATACTTCTTTGAACTGAAAACAAATTTTTGCCATAAGCAAGTTTAAAGTAAAAAACACGCATGCTTTTCCATGAAATGTGCCACTATGAATAGAATGTTTCCTCTAACAAATCAGCATACAAAACCTTAGATTAATAAGGCTATTTAGGTACAAGCTTAATACCTCCCATATACACCATCATGCCAAGATGGTAACATACAGACATGTGCAGTTACTTAGGACAATGGGCCATGAGTACTAATGTATGGAAATACTTAAAATGTAGTAATACACAGGGAAAATGATTTTTAATGTGATGATGGTGATGATGAGGAAGAAGAGGAACAGGAGGAAAAGAAGGTGAAGGAGGAAGAGGAGGAGGAGATCTTTGATTAAAAATGGCTGAGGATGTGGCTAAGAGGCACGATGCTTGTCTAGCATGTATAATAAGGTCCTGGGTTCCATCCCCAGCACCACACACACAAAAAAAAAGAAAAGAAAAGAAAAGAAAAGAAAAGAAAAAAGAAATCACATATAAGAATGGGAACAATCAATAGAATATTAAAAATGTTAAAAAAAAACAAACCCATACTTGTTCTGGGCTATTTTCCTTTCTTTTATGCTACTAATAATCCAAGGTTATAAGTGCTCACAAATACAGGGAAAATAGCTAGGTGCCAGAGACTCATGCAATCCTAGCTACACAGGAGGCTGAGATATGAGGATTACAGGGTCTATGAGACTCTTATTTTCAATTAATCACCCAAAAAGCTAGAAGTGGGGCTGTGGCTTAAGTGATAGAGTGCTAGCCTTGAGCTTTAAAGCTCAGGGATAGTACATAGGCCCTGAGTTCAAATCCCAGGACTGGCACACACAAAAAAAGAGGGGAAATAACTACTATGTAATTGTTTAACATAACTTATCAGGCTTCCATGGACTATAGTTTTGATTTGTGAAGGAACATCACTGTGAATGCGTTGTCATATAAAAGTTGATTTGTAATTTGTAATTCTAACTTAGAATTCTGAGAGGAATGCACATCTAATCAATGAGAGAATTTTAAACCCAGGACCATGAAGAAGTTGCCTTCAGGAGTGATTTGCTATGCTTCTAGGTGAGTTCCTAAGTAGGTCCATGTGTAATTGTACATGTAGGTGAATTAAGTTAAAATCTGGCCATCTTAACATGTGCTCATAACATCAGAGCTGTGCACAGGATTAAGAGCAGCAGTTCTAACATAATATATGTCTCTGGAATGATCTTAGTGTATCCTTATTTTTGACTGATATTTTATTTAGGTCCAGTTAGTAGAAAAGATTAGAGACTGGTCACCAAATTCCAAGGTGTCTAAATCTCAGCAAAACAACTCTGCATGACTTAAAGCAAAACTGCTGTCTTGGTTGCCTTCTTCAACTATATTTTTCAAATAAGAACAGTGAACTATGTATTGACTATCCATTAAATGTTAGTTAATAAGTAGCAATGGTAACAAAAATAAACAATCTCTTCTGTGCTGCTGTACTTTATAATACAAAATAATGCCTTACCTTAGTGATGCTTCAGTAAAATGTATCCAAAAATGATGCTGTAGCAATATGATGTGGATATTCATTAAAAATGATTCCTGGCTGTGCATTTATGTTTATCATCAAAATGTGTTAGTGAAAGCTAATGCCAAAGATCTGGCATCTTAATTAAAAACCACAGGGAGGGAGGGCATTATGAGTGGTTCTTGAATTACTCATAATTATAGGCATAAAAGTAATTTTTTATTAAAAGTTGCATCACTAATGATGTAAAAGGATGTTAACTTTTGTTTTTGGTGTGGTGTGAGTGGTTGATACTGTAGTCCTGAATTCATGGCTTGCCTCATGCTTGATTGAGCTATGAGCCTAATTCTTTCTTGCTTTTAGTTTTGTTGTTGTTTGTTTTTGCTTTATTTCTGGATAGGATTTTGTATTTTTTACCCAGGGGGAGCTTTAGACTATAATCCTCCTCCTTATGTTCCGTGCAGCTAGAATTTTCATTAAGTTATGAAATTTTATTCCAAGTTTTTCAGTTGAAATGGAGACTCACTGACATTTTTTTGGGGACTGGGCTTGCCTCAAACCACAATTATGCTGATCTCTGCCTCTGCAGTAGCTGAAATTGCAGGTGTGCAACACTATGTCTGGCTCTGCAGAACACTTTTAAGTGAAGCCTGGCTATCTTCAAAACTAAAATCCTTGTGGCTCCATAACTATGTATATATCTACATCTTCATCCTCTCTACACTTTACCCTATTGTCTCTGACATACTCTCTGCTAACCTCACTTGCCTTATTTGCCTTGAAAATGAAATTCCACCTTAAGGGAACTGTTTTCTTTTTTCTTATTTATATGACCAAAAGTTGTATCCCTAAATGATATAAAAGGGTGACCAAAAACTTTATCCCTAAATGATATAAGAGCGTGTTAAATTACAGAACACTTTTTCTTGCAAAGAGGGTAAGGTCAATACTGAAATCTTGAACTTAGGTTATTTTCTTGGCCCTGTTCACTTACTGTCCTTTTCTAGAAGATATTGATAAAGGGCCCCAAATTCTCCTAATACTGTATAGCTGCCTGTCCACTGTCTAGCTGTTTTTCCACCTGTTAGCTTCAAGGATAAGAATGATACTGGGTGAGTCTGGGTAAGTCTCTTCAGACTTACTATCACCCACCATCCTCCAAGAGCTCACCAAGAAGCCAGTGACTTCAAATTACAAAGGAACATGAAAACAAGCATTTTCAGTGTTTTCCTCTTCCAAGTTGATTTGAAAGAAAGGATTGCATTTCCATTAATTTCTAATGCTTCATTTCTATTTAGGAGAAATGACTGGGTAATATCTGCTTAGAATTTATTCTTTCAAGTCATTGTTCATACTGTCTAAGACACACTTGGGCAAATGGGAAGCACGGTTTCATAAGTGTTCTTCAAAGAACCATCTTCTTACTTTACAATTCAAACTATGTCCATTTTTTTGTTTTGTTTTTTTTTTCCTTTAAAGACAGTGCTACATTAAAAGGTATAAAGTTAGCACAAGCCAATCAACTGTACTGTTCAACTGATAGACAAATTCTGCTCTTGGTTATAAAAATAACAGAAATCGAAGGCAAATAAGAGACAATATTGAGCATATTCAGAAATGAAATGAAATACTTAGCTTTGAAGTGAAGAGTGCTACATTCCCTTGTTTATAAACTATGTCTCACATGAGTTTTTTTTTTTTTTTGCCTGAATTACCTTTTACTTATTACTATTTTAGGGGCTGCTGGCAATTGGAACTGAGGGCCAGTCAATCTGAGCACAGAACTCTGACATGGGGCTACATTTCCCAGTCCTTCAATGTATTTTCTTACACACACGCACACGCACACACACACACACACACACACAATCATGGCAATGAAATGGCTTGTACATTTCACCATTTAAATCTCATTTTGATGTAATGAATTTAAGATTAATTTGCTAATTCCATATAGCTCTGAACATAGGAGAACTAGTATATGAGATCATTTCTACTTTAAGCATCTAATCTTAATGACACAGTCTGTGCTTCTTAATTATGAAGACAGCATAAAATATTCTATTTACAGTGAGCTTTTCTACCTTTCAAAGCCCACACAATAGTGAAGCTTGAATTAGTCAATATGGTTCCATTAGGAGCTAATCCTGTTTCACATTATTGAAACATTAGCCAATGAGAACAAAATGAATTCATAATGAGACTTTTAAAGATTAAAATAAAATTAGTTACTCATTGGCAAATTGTATGCTACCCTGGCCAATGTATTGCCTATTTGCCTTTAAGTCCAGATTATTATTGTGAAAGAGCTCCCTACAGTATAACGACAAACAATGCCTAATGTCCCTTGTCCATAAGCCTTCACAAGAGAAGGCTTCTGCCTTCTCTGTCTCATATAATTATTTTAGGACCTAAGGTCTATGTCTCATACAATTGCTTAAGAACCTAAAGTTAAGAAGAAACAACTACTAATGATCTGTGATTAAAAGAATTAATTAAGAAAGAATATCAGCTGGGCGCCAGTGGCTCATGCCTGGAATCTTAGCTACTCAGGAGGCTGAGATCTGAAGAGAGCAGTTTGATGCCAATTCAGGCATGAAAGTCTCTTATCTACAATTTTAAAAAAAGAAAAAGCCAGAAGTAGTGTTGTGGCTCAAGTGGTAGAGTGCTTGCCTTGAGCAAAAGGAGCTCAGGGACAGCACCCAGGCCCAGAGTTCAAGCCCCAAGACTGGCAAAAAGAGATTGGGGGTGTGTGGAGGCAGGGAATCAATAATGGTTTACAGCAACATCTCTGCAGCATATGAAAATCAGGAATAAATAAGTTCAGAAGACCAAAGACTAATGGAAAGCTAGAGTTGTTCCATACACTGCAATTATTTTTTACTCTTCTTTAATTTTTAAGTATTAGAGACTGACTTTGGGGCCTTGACTCACTAGGCAGGTGCTCTACTACTTAAGCCATGCCTCCAGCCCCTTTTTAACACTAGTAATGTAGGGGTTTGTTTTGTGCCTGTGCTGGCCTGTGCTTCGATTCTACTTACATTTTCTCTCATCACTGGGGAGAGCATGTTATGCCACACTCAACCACTGTGTACCCCCCTGGCTGGAATAACAGGAACATGCTACTGCATCCAGTCCTTGGTTGAAACAAAGTCTCACAAACTTTTTCCTGAGGCTGACCTCAAGTTTCTGCCTCCCCTCAGCCCCCCACCCTAACTGTGATACAGAGCTGACAAGATCCTGGATTCATATTCATTTGCACAACAATTAGTTGTGTGGCCTTGGATAACTTATCCCTTCTCATCTCCCATCTCCTCATCCTTGAATTAGGGGCAATAGGTATACATGTTCTAACAAGGTTAAATGGGAGATATATATAACGTAAGAGCCTTACTGTGCTGGCTAGCATACAGAATATTATTTGTGTTAACTTACCCTTGATTCCTCTACTTATTTCCTAGCACCTAGCAAATCTGCTAGCACCCACGGGACTCCAGATAAATGATAAACTGAATTTCTGTAACCCATTTGTATGTTAGAAACAGATTCTCTAGCTACAGTACTCAGGTTAGATACTCTATATTTTGCTACCATGCTGGACCTTTCATTAAAAAACAGTTCTGAATATGGATACAGTATTCCCTTTCTGTAGCTTTGCTTTTAAGTGCTCTTAGGAATAGTAAGCATTTGGCTATTATGTATCATTCATGTTTTACTGTAAGTTAATTTAATTGCTTCTCTAATAGGCAATGGTTTCAGCTGCAGGTCTCTGGGTAAACAGGAAGGTTGGATCAAAGGGAAAGATTCTAGAAGTTGCGAAATATGTACCTCCTAAGTAGCAAGAATAATAATGGATATTTAACATATATTATCTTCTTAAGTCTTGAAACAAACCTGTAAGTATGAACAACCCATTGTTTTACACATGAGGATTTCTAGATTCAAAGTACATGCTCATATTCCTCTGTCCTATTAAGATGCTTCAAGGGGGAAAGAAGGTGAAAAAGATGTTGAAGAGCACATGGCTGCATCATTTTGGCCTAATGCTGAACTTCTGGTATAAAAAAAAAGTTTAGCAAGGGCCAGATATGGGGTACCCTTGCCTCCATCAATAATCCCAGCTACTCTGGAAGCGGAGACGAGAGAGTCACAGTTCAAGATTAGCCCAGAGGAAGAAATTAGGAAACCCTATCTAGAAAGAAAGAAAGCAACCAGGGCTGGGCAGGGGGCAGGGTGGGGGGGAGGTTAGATCAAGTGATAGACCACTTGCAAAAGCCCAAGTTCAAACCTCAATACTGTAAATAGCTAGCTAGGTAGGTAGATAGACAAATAGATGATAGATAGATAGATAGATAGACAGACAGACAGACAGAGAGTTTCAGGACAAGGGCCTCATCTTTGGAAAGCTCGACCCAATATTATATGTGGAATGGGCAGTGTCAAGTTTTTAATATTATTATTATTACAATTTTTTAGGCAAATTTTGTTCTCTTATCTTTTAACTTTGTTTTCCAAATACTACTCATTTTGTTCTTTACCAGATATGAATTGGTCTTCCTTCCATTAACTGTTTCTCCTCTTTCCAATAGGTTTAGTTCAGACAAAAATGGTAAAGTATTTAGACTGGGAGGTTCTAAAATAGGTAAAACATAAGAACCTGTAGGTACTGCTTAAACACAAGAGTGGATTTGGAAAAATTCAGCATTTTATTTTAGTGAGTAGAAGATGACTTTGTCAGAAGTGATGTCTGTTCATCAAACTTAGGACCCTAATCCTATGCTTTGTCTTTTAATGAGGAGGATGCAGGGTGAGGGTGTATATGTATGTGTATGGTGAGTACACATATTTGATATACAGGTAGTCAAGACGCATTCTGAAGAAAACCAACCTTTCATCACCAATACTACCACCCACAATAACACAGGAGTAGAGCAACCTTATCCTCACATCCAGCTTTTTAATTTATTCTTTCATAATATATTTTTAGCTTTCGAAAGAATAACTGTACATTTGAAGTATATATCTAAAACAAACTTTAACAGTTTGGTAGATAAGCATATACAGTTTTGCTTGTTCTTGTTAGTTTTTGCAGTACTGGGATTTGAACTCAGGCCTTCATGCTTGCTAGGCAGGTGCTCTACCACTTGAACATTGCTTCTAGTCTTTTTTGAGACAGGGTCTCACTTTTTGCCTAGGCCCAACTTCGATGGAAATTCTCCAAATTTATACTTCCTGTTATAGCTCTGGTAACAGACATCAACCTATTGTTGTGATGGGGTTTTATGAACTTTATACCTAGGCCAAACTCAAACTACAATCTTCCCAATCGCCACTTCCCAAGTAGGTATGATTGTGAATGCGAGCAATTGGCACCTACCTTTTTCTTGCTTTTCTAACAATATATTTTCTCCAATGCTATATTCAAAGGAAGGACCTCCTTTGCTTTATTGTTGTAGCCTCCCTGAAGTTCTTCACACTCATGAATGTAGACTCCTCCACAACTGGTGGTGTAAGGCCATAATTTTTAGGTCTATTTTTACGTCCTTCTTACTGAGTATCTTTTAAAATCATTCTTTTATGTCTATAGACTTTAAATTTGATTTCCAGAAATGACAAGATTCAAAGAGCTGGAAATGAATTTAACTGATATATCCTTTTCTGCCTTTCTCAAAGAAAATCTCCAGTTCCAAGTTAATAAAGCACAAGCTATAGCCATAAGTACTCCTAAAAAAAGTAGACATGATCTACTTTCATGTTTTCAAATCTCAAAAATTTTTACTTAGTAACTCACTATAATATATTGAGATATAATAAAACTAGCTGAGGTTCAGCTTTCCAGAAGTGTTCTCATGTTATAGTTAGCAATACATACTACAGCACTTAAGATCAAGCATGCTCCAAAGGTCATATGTGTGTATACACATGTATAAATACATGCATATATATGTACACATATATGCAATTCTTAGGATATAGTCTAAAGTACTAGGGATTCATATTTTTTAAAAATCTATTTATAATTGTAAAGTTAACTTTATTACTACTGTAATAGCCTTCCAAAAATATTTCTATCTATTACATGCAGTCAATACTTAATAAATATTTACTGAATAAGACTTTAGATATGGCATGCAGCTTAAAATAGAGAATATACCTAAAGAAATAACTTCAAACAATCTACAGAGAATAATATTTGCCATACTTTTTAAGTTTACAGAGTAAAATGTAAAACATAATCCCAGTAAGAACTACTTAGATCAACATCAAAAGAGCTTTAGGGATGAGTGCCAGTGGCTCATATCTGTAATTCTAGCTACTCAGGAGGCTGAATGAGATCTGAAGATATAGCAATTTGAAGCCAGCTCAGGCAGAATAATCCATGACACTCTTATCTCCAATGAACCACCAAAAAGTGGGAAGTGAAACTGTGGCTCAAGTGGTAGAGTGCTAACCTTGAGCAGAAAAACTAAGGGATATCTCAGACTAAGTTTGTTGCAGATTTGACAATGGTTCAGCACTATTGTATACTTGCAAACTAAGGGATGGAAAAGCTCTTAGAAGAAATTTAAACTATCTGAATAAGAAAAAGTTGTTTGCACATGCATTTTTTAAAAGATTAAAAAGCACATATGTCCATTCCTACTTTAAATGTAAAGCAGAAATACTGGGTTTGGGCAATAGCATTCATCAAGTGACTATTTTCTCAAACTAACACGTACAGTATAATATTTGCCTACATGAACAAAAGTCACAAGTCAACAACTTTGCAATAAAATTTACCTCGCTGGAACTGGTAGTTTGGGGCAAAGAACAGAAGATTTTGAAGATGTAGTATACTCAGAAGGCTTCAGGTTGTAGCTACATAGTGCTGAGCCTGTTAAAAGGAAAGTTAAATGTTAGCAGGTAGAAGAGAGCAGTCTCTTAGCAGTTCTCTTCAGTTTTAGATGTTCAGGCTAACATATTCACCTTGCAAGCATTATAGAACTCATAAGAATCTGAATTTTATGTACACATATTTTATTGATAATGTTCATTACAATAAAGTACCAGAATGATTTTTATTGAGTATCTGCCATATGTCGGGTTCCATGCAAAAAGGCATGGATGTGTAAATCACTTACTATGCTTTCATAAGGCAGGCATTATTACATCTATATTGCAGGAGGAAATGGAAGCTAAGAGTTAAGGTAAACAACCTGTCTGAGAACAGAGACCTAGGAAGCTGAGCTGGGATTTGGCTCCATGTCTCTGACTACAAAGCCAATGGTCCACTGTACATTCTCTCATCCCTGCACTTTCCATTATTAAATATTACAGCACATACATTCACATAATATGTTACTTCTTATTTGAAAACAAGGAACACTCAACTACAAACCAACTAAAATATTGACAAAACTGATCCTCACTTTTCAAAGTGTTTTTTAAAATGGGAAGATACTTTATTTTTCCTTTCATGCATTTTTATTGTTATCATAAAGGTGATGTATAGAGGGGTTAGTTACATAAATCAGATAAAGAGTACATTTCTTTCTGAACAATGCCATCCCTTCCCTAGCTTTCTCTCAATTTTCCTTCCCATCCCTTCCTAGAAGTTGTATAGTTCATTTTCAACAAAATGTCTAGTGAGTACCAATGCTGCGTTTGTTCACCCTCTATCCCACCATTTTTGTGCTCCCCTTACTCTCTCAAAGACAGATAAATGAACGAACAAGACAAAAAGAAAACAAAAATAGCAACAATAAATTCAGCCTTAGATTGGTCTATTTTTCTGATTATATGGCTATACAGATTTAAGTAACATTGAAAATTCAAATAGACACAGTCTAGTGTGTATTATGTTGCAGACCTGTTCATAGCTACTCAGTATTGAGGACATCACTATATAGTAGTAGCTGCAGTAAAAGCGAGGAGAACTAGACTTGGCTCTCATTTTGTAGAGTCATCTAATGCACTATCACATGAACTGTTTATACATTTAGCTGAAATTACTTCCAGATTTCTAAACTGGACAAATATTTTAGTATCACATACAAATAGAAGAGCTTTGCATTTTTATATTGATAACAGACTTCTACAGTGTACCTCCAAGAACACAATAGGTGGCTACAGTGATAGACCATGACACTGAATTAAGTGTGGGAAAGTCATGTGATCATCAGAAAGAAAGGGAGGTGACTACAGGACAACAAAATTAGCAGTGAATTTATTTCATTTGTATCTTGCTTGATCGATCCAACTAATTTTTGGAAAGCCGTAAACAACCATTTAATTCAACAATATTCTCTGAAACTAGCAAACCACTTGTGGGTGTTTAAATAATGAGGGCCATAATAACATATTTACATAAATATAGAAAGCATATATTTTAAACAATGATACTTAAAGTGACAACAAGGCAAAAAGATTTCTAAAGACATACTGGAAAGTTTCATGGTAGCTTTCTCCAAGCTTTCACATCTTTTGATAAATTCAATAGGAGAGTAATTTAAAAATTATTTTTGACTGCTCTTTTCCATTTGAGTGAAATGTTTTAAAAATTAAGCATGTGGACTGGGGATGTGGCTAAGTGGCACAGCACTTGCCTAGTAGGCTTGAGGCTCTGGGGTTGATCCCCAGCACAGGAAAACAAAACAAAACCAGAAAGAAACTTAAGCATGAATAGTATTTCTCTCTTCTAAAATTATTATCTCTCATGTTTGAAAATAATGTCACTAAGTTCTATTTACAGTAATTTTTGACAGAACTTAACAGCAACAACAAGCACATATTTGAAAGAAATTCTAAAACAGCTGGAAGACTTATTTTAGGATTGCAGATGGAAAAGTAAAGCAACTGTGCCAATAACAGCAGAGCGGCCAACGTGACTGTCAACTTCTTGATCTGAATTGTCATTGGATTTCCTTCAGTGTCCAAGCTGGAATCAATTTGCACAAAAAAACACTAACTAAAGCACTTTGTGTAAGTGTGGCTCAACACATGACTTCATCTGAATTCAGTGAACACAATCTTTAGCCTAGCCCTTCCTTTATTTAAAGAAAGGAGGTCAGCAGGTGTAACAGGGTGGAATTGTATACTTTCCCAGGGTAATACTCAATGGAGGGATAATAGCCTTATCTCTGATGGTCTTCTGGGACACAGGCCAGTACTAAATAGATCCTGTACTAAATAGATTAAAGGGAAAAGATCTCCACAATGCATTAGTAGCAACAATCCTAAGAAACTTTACATATACAATGCTTTCTGCTCAAAAAACTGATGGGCAGAAGAGGCTCAATAAAAAACACTAACACTGCAATGGCAATTTTTTTCATTGTTGTTTTTCTTTTCATATTTATTAGTGAATATATTTTCAGTGGACATTTTAAAATTAGCATTTTAATGGTGTTAGAATAAACAATACTGAGCATAAGATGTTTGGACATAAAAAAAGAGTAAAACTTTCAGTTTTCATTCAAACACGAAAGCAGGTAAAAAAAATATATTTGAGTAATAAAAAGTAAAAAACGCAAACCAAAAGCTTATCTAAAGCTTATCAGAGGCAGTCCAAGCAATTCAGTCAATGTTATTCAAAGGCTATCAAAATGAGCAATCTTAGGAAAACTAAGTTGGGTATACAAACATTTATCACAGTAAATGGTTGCTACAGCACCCAGAATGTTTAACTACTACAATTTTTCAAATGTCTTATAATATTTAATTATTTATTATTTAACTCAATATCAGTTATATCAACTCCCCTAAGAGTTCATTCCATCACTACCCTCCAAAAGTTATACACTGAAAAAAAATTAAGTTAGGTTTCTGAGGTCTTGCAGGGAAATCACTGGCATATTTACAAATAAAATTTTTTACTTTAAGCCACTGTACTTAAGAGTGTATTTAGGAAATAGTAAGCTTCCATACAAAAATTACCGAGAAAGCACATGTTCTACAATGTGCTAAAACAAAACAAAAACAGAGCTGGGCATCAGTGGCTCATCCTGTAATCCTAGCTACTCAGAAGGCTGAAATCTAAGGATCCTGGTTCAAAGCTAGCCCAAACAAGAAGGTCTGTGAGATTCTTATTTCCAGTTAACCAGCAAAATGTGGCTCAGATGGTGTGGTAGAGTGGTAGCCTTGAGCAACAAAGCTCAGGAACAATGTCCAGGTGCTGAGTTCAAGCTTGCCAGGACTGACAAAAAGAAAAAAATAGAACAGAATATTTCAAGCAAAAGCATACAACAACATCAAAAAGCATAAAACTATTTGACATTTGGCTCTGTTATAAAACAGCATTTTTTTGTATCTTTATTTAATCTATCATTTCTCTTGGTGTGCTCTGAGAACCCAGTTTGTATGCTATCCTGAGTCCCCTCTAGTACACAGGGGCACCCAAAGCTTCCTGTTGAATAAAAGACCAGTTGTTAATCTCTGATAGTTTAGTAATAACATGTTTGTTATACAATATTCATCTACTTCTCACAAATAATGAAATACACTATTTAAAAGAGTATTTGTCAACTTTGTATCACATGACATCCTTGGTTACACAGGGCATCCTTTGTCTCTACCTTCTAGGTTCCAGGAGTTTCTCCTGGTGATGGCAATCAAAAGGTCTTGAGATATTGACAAATACTCTTAGGCAAGCAAAAGCTTGCTTATAAACATACTTGGATATCAATGGACCAAAACACAAAATAACTTAAAGATACAAAACAGTTGATAGGTTGAAAGCTATTCTCTTTTTTGCCTTAAAATTGTATTAATTTACCATCAAATAATATTTGTATGATACATTAAAATTAAGTGAAAATAGACCCTCAAAATATGATTTTAGAAACTTGCAATGAATGAGCAGAAAAAATGTCTCAATGCAAAACAGTTTTCTCCATGAAAAACCAGTTCTACTTCCTTGTGAAGTATAATGACTTTAACTTTTTTTCTCTAGTTAGGAAACTGCTGTATATTTATGTGCTGGAAGAAAGAAAGACATTTTTCCCATCTGAATTTCTAGCAACATGAAAAGTATGGTTGTATTTGCAATTTCCTAAAAGTACCTATTGAAAAAAATTAGCCACCAGGGGTATGTGACATCACCTGTCAAACATCAGTAGCATATATTAGGCACACGATTAAATTTTGTTAAGTGAATTAACTTGAACTATATGTGAGATTTGCACTAGGTAATCAGCACGGAGAAATCTGACTACTGCAAGCTCCATAAAGGGAGAGACGGTACTTTGTATCTATGGCACATACTCAATGTGCACCAATTATTTATTCAATGATTACTTTAACTTGTATTAGCAAATGTGAGCATTTTTTCCTTTTTAAACCAAGCATCCTTGCTGGTCTCTAACTTGAGCACAATAAAATCAGTTGCTAGAGTTGATCATTTTGTTGATTTAAAATGTTATAAAGTCCAACCTTTCGATTGATTGTGACAGGATAAAATCCAGACTAATTTTTTGGTTTAAGTTACAGAGTTAGTGACTGAATTGGGAATATACTGATCATCTATTGATACTGACTCTTAACCTAACAACTAGATAATGATAATCAAAAGACAAATTAGTATTCGTGAGTAGTACTTTTTTATCTGCAAGGATCACATGATTTGTCAAAACTTTAAATGGCAAAACAATAATCATTAAGAAAGCACAAGCTGTACAGCTTCACTCATGATGTGGCAATGATCCAAACCGTAGATCATCAACCTCTCAGAATTATGCAGAATATAGTGACTAAAGAAACGCTTTTAAATGGCAGTGCTTTTTCATATGGCATAAATGGGATGCAAGTGAGATTTCTGCCACAGTTCACCATCATATTAGGGAAGACAAAAGAGTATACATGTATAATAAAGTAATTTTGTAAGAGTAATGGAAAGGA